AAGAGAGAGAGATGGAATTAAGAAAGTCAAGTAAATAATAAAACTAGGTTATACAAATATTTTGATATCAATTAGATTAGATTAAATATGTAACATATATAGTTACCTGTGTCAAATTTTCTGTCAAATTTTCTGCATGTATGCTATTATTCCTTATAGCATAACTTCTACCCCATAGTGGATTAAGAAGACCCTATAAAACATTAAGATATCAACCATACAAAATTTTTAAATTGAACTTTTTTTTAGTAATGTAAGCCGCTAAAATGTTAATAGAACACACATTTTCTTGAAGTTGAATCGAACTACTCTCAGGATAAATGGGTGAAGCATGCGGCCTTGGCATGTAATACCCTCCAAAGGTTGGAATTGGGTTAACCTATTCATATACATGAACAAATGAATATGTCTTGCTTCAGTTTGGTGTTAGATTAAAAATAAAGAAACCAGTTATCCATGACGTCTCATGAATTGTGTAAGGCCTCTTAAAAATCATAAACGCCCATTAAAACAAGTTAATGGAAGTATACCTTTTCTTGTAGTTGAATTGAACTATTTTTGGGGTAAATGCATGAATCTGGTGGCCTTGACATGTAATATCATCCAGAAGTTGGAACTTGATTAGCCTATCAATTATACATCAAACCATAGAAATGTCATGCTTCAAAAGTTAAATAGATTAACAATAAAATTAGAATAATATTTGTAGTTAAATGTACTATACCACAAGATTACTAGAGATAGCATCAAAAGGATTTGGACCAAACATGCTATTGGCTTCCAATGTTTTTGTAGATGCCTATCCAAAAATATTATTAAAATGTTAATTTATATGCATTATTAAAATAAAAATATAAAAATATTTTTCACTTATACCTTTGTGGATTTTAATCTATTTGCTTTGGTCTCCTTAACCTTCTTGTTTTGATTCTTTTTTTTCAGCTTCTGAACCACAACTTCCAATCTTGAAATTTTCCTTTTCGTTGCAGGACGCCCTTTCCCTCGAGTGACCAGAGGACTCAATACTTTATCTGCCCTACCTACCACTTTTTGTTGCTCAACATAATCTCGTGGCTCTGAAGAAAATGTTTGAACAATGTCGAAGTGATCATTGGTGACTTTTAACTTCAATTCTCGTATCCCTTTCATCACCAACTCAAATTTTTCTTCATCGTCCGCAGCAATAACGGAAACCTCATGGAGTGCCTTGCGCATTTTTTCACGTCTCCGCATTTGCTGATTCAAAGGATTGTATCCGATCCTCACCAAAGTATATCTTCGTTTTAGGTCCTTTCTCCATCGTGAAAAAATATAGCGAGGATGAACTTCATTTATTTTCCTTGCAATTAGCACTGATAGGCAATGCCTACAAAGAATTCCTCTGAACTCGAACAAGCGGCAAATGCAATTAACTTCATGAGTAGATTCATAAAAAAAGACAGTAAAAGTAACATCTTTTCTGATGTCGCCAACTTTTACATCTTCTTCAACTTTATACTCATATACAGAATTGTCAATCTTAACTAAAGAAGGTTGACAATAAAATTTATCCCTTAACTCATCTTGAAATTCTCTAAATTTCACATTTGTATAAGCACTTTGAAATTGCTTTTCAATATCATAATTGCTCAAGCAATCAAATCGAGATTCCAAGATTCATAATCTGCTACAGTCTCTTTCTCGACCTTTCTTTTCAAGGCTTGTTCATACAAAGCAACAAACTGCTTCAAAGTGGTTTTATGATTAGCAAACCCTTTGAAAAAAGCATTCATACCTTCACTTCGCTGTGTGGTCGACATACCTGCCCAAAATGAACTTTTCACATATGCAGGAACCCAACGTTTTCTATCAGCATATAATCTCTGCAGCCATTCATTATCATGAAGATTATAGCCATCAATCATCATTGACCATCCATTGTCAAACTCATCTTCAGTAAGGGCATCATAAACAACTGCTTGCATGAAATTCTTGATGTCCTCATAGTTGGAATATCCACTCATTTTTTCTGGAATTTCTTTCATTATATGCCATAAACACAATCTGTGTTGTGTACTATCACCAAAAAAAATTTCAATAGCATTTTCCATAGAGTTGCATTGATCAGTGATAATACCTTTAGGACGACAACCAGACATGCACTTTAGCCACGACTCGAATAACCACACAAATGATTCTGTGTCTTCATTTTTCAGCAACCCACAACCAAACAATACAGATTGTCCATGATGATTCACGCCAACGAAGGAAGCAAAAGGCATTTTATACTTATTAGTTAGGTAAGTCGTGTCAAACGTGATCACATCTCCAAAAGCTTTATAAGCAGCCCTACTTCGCCCGTCTCCCCAGAACAAATTTCTAATACGAGATTCCTCATCTATGTCCATGACAGAGAAAAAATTTTGATCGACTTCTTGCATTTGGGCAAAATACTTGCAAACTGCTTCAGCATCTCCAACACCAAGCTTGCTTCTTCTTGCTTTCTCGATATGGTTGCGACAATCTTTCTCATTAAAGGTATCATTCTCATATCCGTTAGCTTCAACAACAAGAGAATGAAAGTTCTTACTCACGCCAATCCCAGCTTCATCATTTATTTCGAGCCGTCTTTTCACACGATCATCTATCTTTCTGTTGCATCGAAAATGACGTGCTTTTCCTGGGCTTAACAAATGGTCATGATCAAGATGAACTGTTGTCACTCGAATATTCCCATCATCACACAATGTCAATCTTATCTTCGCTTTACAACTCGTTTTAGTTGAAAGTTTGGAGGCAAATGAGCTCTTCCCAGTAGATTTTTTCTTCTGATCATTCTTAACACATGAAAAAGTAAAGTATCTAACAACACCATCATCTCCTCGTTTTGAACTTCTTTTCATCACACCAAACCCTTTCCGAATCCCATAATTGAAGTAATATGCATATGCTTCTTCTTGAGATCCAAAAACCATCCCTAGTGTGGGTTCTTCAATAATCTCATTTTCATTCATTATCTATAATAGTAGAAAAATCATAGAATGTTAAAATATGCATGAATACTATATAAAAAAATCATTTAAAGATTTCCAACATACAATTTAAACACACAGATATTAATTTTAAAAGGCTCAAATTAGTATACATAATATCAATTAACATATATTTTGAAACAGTAAGTTCTAATTAATATCTAGAAAAGGTTGAAAATAACTAATATAATAAGATAAATTGATGTGCGCACACCAAATTCTAAACTCTAAATTGTAATTAAAATAATATAATACTGTAAATAAAAAAAAAGATGGGGAATTCGTGGGACCGTAAACATACCTGATAGCAATGAAAGTTGTGGCAGAGAAGCCCAATAGATTTGACACGGCGGTAGTGAAAGTGAGGGGCAGTTACGGCGGTAGGGTAAAGAGATAATTTTTTATTAACTCAACTTAAAAAAAGTCTTCTTTTTCTTGGACAGAATAATAAGAAAAAAAAAACAATGATTTATATTGACACGTCAGGGAGTTAATTGAGACGGTAGAAGTTGGAGGGGCATGTAGCGGTATTGATGTTTGTAAGTTATCAAGATCTACGAGTCTCTTATTCAATAATTTGTATAATTTTAAATTATTGCATCGAGAGTACATTAGATCAGGTTGAAGACCGTTCGATGCAAAAGGCCCACGCTTGTGTGTGTAATTTTACAAGTTGTAAATTTTGAAGGCTTGTACTTGTATGGGTTGATAAAATAAAATGTAATAGAAGTAGTTCTATTTATTTTATCTCGTATATAGGCATAGACCAATTTTTGGCTCGAATGGGTCGCATAGGCATGGCCGTGATCATCCCATCGCTTTCTGCATATGATGCATGTATGGTTTATTTTTCTAGAATTTCATGTGATGAATGTTGCATTAAATAAACACAAATAACAAATGATGAGGTCTTAAAATAAACCCTAAGTTTTTGAAACTATTAAGGAATTTAATTCGATTAATTCCATATCAAATTATAATGGATAAAAATAGGTTGGACCTTGCCTTCCATCAAAAGTAGATGACATGACGATGCTACGGTGCTTAGTCACTGACCATGAGTCGTGGGGTGGCTTTGTGGTGAAAGCTGTGATCTCTACTAAACTGGGGTATATAAGAAAAGTGAGATGCTCGTGAGATGGATTCGTCTTTGTGTTGGCCACGAGTCGTGGGACACTCTGATGCGCAATTATCACGAATGTTTTATGGGTTTAGTTTGACACTTAGTACTATATACAGTCATAAAATTGGGGTATATAAGAAAAGTGAGGCAAAATAAGCTTGTGAGTTGTATAATTATACAATTGTCAAAAATGTTGACTACCAATATAAATATTTCATGCGTACTCATAAAATTGGGATATAGAATATTTTTATTGGACTTCAAGCCCACTATGAAAATTTGATTTTCAAAATTTCATGGGGTTTAATTAAAATAGTGGGAGACATTTATTATTTAAGACCTAATATTAAATGAATATATTTTCCATAATTTACTCATTTTCTGCTTCGTTTATTTTGGTAGATCATTCTACTAAAATAGCTAAAAATCCAATTGCATGTATTCTTGAGCAAAACAAATTGACTGATCACGAGTGTTTCTATTGTGACAAATTAAGGCACTGAAAGAGGAATTGTAAGAAATATCTTACAAGCTTGAAGAGTTCAAGTGTTTATTTTGTTGAAATTAACCTATCAATTAATGATGCTTCTTGGGTATTAGATACCGGCTCTGGCTCACATATTTGCAATGATTTGCAAATGATGGCAAGAAGTAGAAAGCTGGACAATAAGGAAACAGTTCTTAGGATGGGCAATGGAACAAGAGTTGTTGCATTTGCTATAGGAACTGTTTATCTAGCTTTAAATAATGGTGTAAGTTTGTTATTGAGAGTGGAAGTTGTTCTATTTTCAAAGATACCGATATTATATATTTCGGTATTTTAACAAATAATTTATACACTGTTATACCTTAAAGTCTCATCCTAACTATTCAACAAAATAAAAGAAAGTTAGATAATCATAGTTCGTTTACACTTTGACATGCTAGATTAAGACATATATCTGAAAAAAAGATTCACAAATTGGGACCAAAACTCGACCTTAGGGGAGAGGATAAGTTGCCTACATGTGATTATTGTCTTAAAAGAAAAATAACAAAATCACCATTTGTTGGACAAATGGAGCAAGCTAAAGGTCTGTTGAATATGATTCATACAGATGTTTGTAGACCACTAAATGTTAGTGCAAGAGAGAACTATCACTACTACATAACCTTTACTGATGATTTTTTGGGGTATGGTTATGTATACCTTTTAAGGTATAAATCTGAAACTTTGAAAAGTTCAAAGAAATTAGATGTGAAGTGGAGAAACAAATTGGTGGTAATATTAAAAATCTTCGATCAGATCGAAGAGGTGAATATTTGACTACTGAGTTTCTTGATTATCTAAAGGAGAATGGAATTTCCTCACAGTGGACTTCTCGTCTATTGTTGATCCAATAATGATTTATTGTGACAACAATGGGGCTATAGCACAAGCGAAAGCACTAAGATCTCATCAAAGATCCAAACAAAATATGATGCGATACCACATGATTAGAGAGATCATTGGTAAAGGTGACGTCATTATGGATTAAGTCGCTTTAGCAGAAAATATAGTAGATTCCCTGACTAAGCCCTTATCACATAAAGTGTTTGATGGATATCTTGTGAAGATGGGCCTGAAATACTTGGGTGATTGGAACTAGGGCAAGTGGGAGATTGTTAGAGTAGAATACTCGGCGTTCCAATCTGATTGGATCTTTTTTTACTTTTAAAAACAATTTATTGGAAAGTATATTAGTTTGAGGCATAGCTTTATCTTATGTATTTGCATTTATTCTATATTTGCACATATGATAAAGTCCTTAGATAATTATTAGCTATGAGGAATGGTTGCGCATTTGATGGTAATCATGGAACATGTCTTTAGAGCTGTGATCTTAAATAAGTTCCAAGTCGATGGGTGTTTCGAGACAGGATATCGAATAACCCAGTAAGACTTGTGGATATGATGTATGTTCATCGGATGAGAATGTTGCATTCCATCAACATTAGCGTGTGGACGTGAATGCATATATGCTGGTGCTTGTTGGAGAACAAGTTCACTGAACATGGCCCGATGAAAATTCTTAACTGGAAGTTTTTAACTGTCGAATAAGAATTTTCATGTTGCAATA